CCCTCGGATCCATTAACAAGGATCATTGGCAGAATTGGCAAATACCATTCTGGTTCAACCAACTGACCATCATCATTACGATATGATAGTAACGAGTCATCTTGTGGGTTGAAGATCTTTCGTGTTATGTCGGGGATAGTGACGCTGATATAACGAGCGCTAGCTTGCATCCTTCCCTTAACCCCCCCCCCCCCGGAGCCCTTGTGCCGAATTGGCCCTCACCATTAAAGATATTGACGTTGTTTGAACCGACAAAATCGTGAGCCATTCCGATAATGGAGACTTGCATCACTATGATGATATGCCGCTTGTTCTAAAACAGCCCCGGATAGCGAAGAAACTTTAATTCCTTCTTATAATTCTTTTTAAAGCAAGTGTACAAAACATTTCCTTGCCCGGCTTTAAATCGTCGAGGACACTTGGAATCGAACGTTCATTGTCGGCTCGACTGAAAAAGATTAACTCTCTATTTATAAAATCCGTTATCGTGATTTCTTCTTGATCATCATGATTCATGTAGGTACCGGGCTAGAAGAATATAACAATTTAGAATGCGAATTATCGTTAAAAGGTTTACATTCTGGAATCAGGTAACAGAAAAAAAATTCTATACATAATTCAAAATTACTTAACCATATCTTGCGATCATCAGCTTTCATTTTATTAAAGGCCATATCGATCAACTCTCGTTCACCTTCTTTCATAGGTGCAAAAGGTTTTTTTTATGGCGCTTTAAATTCTTAAAATATTGTTTGGCTTCTTTGGTATTTGAAGTGCCAAGACCCTAGGAACAGGAGTATTTATCATATTAGTTACATCACTTTTTGTAAAAAAAAATATCTATTAAAAGAAAATTACCTTGTAATATTTGACCTTCTAATTTTTAGCATCAGGGGTCATCGCCTTCCAATTTTCATACTCAGGCATAGTGAAGAATGATACTTCTTTATTACCCTTCGTAAACTAATAAAAAAAATTATTTAATGATTATTGGATCTCAAAAGGTTATTGCATTAGCGTGATTGAATGGTTTCATACCTTTACAATTGGTGTGATAAATTCCCATAAGAAACCCGAAATTTTTAGCAAGGAGGGAAAGAAATGATCCAAGAAATTGATATCAATCCTTTTATATGACTTCCATCGTGATCTTGATCCGTCATGATCATCAGATGCCCATATCGTAATTCACTTGTTATGTATATTCTTTTCCTTGTTTCAGCCTAAGGATTTGCTTTATTTGTTGAATTTCTGTATTATTCATGATCTGAGAGTGGGTGCATTCACGAACATTTAAAAGTTTTCCACGGAGTGGGAAAATTCCATAATTATCACGTCCAACTTCGGAAAGCCTGGCAACTGCCAAAGTTTTTGCAGTCACCTTCCTCAGCATTCTTCCACCAGCCTTGTTTGAATCTTCCAATTTCGCGATCCCAGAGATCCAATTAAAAATATATCGGAATCTAATTAACAAAAAAAAAATTTTTTTTTTTTTTATATCAATATCCCCCTTCCCCACTGACAATTTATTTACTTTTTTATTTTTTCCATCTGTCTTCATTAATTCTTTATTTTGTTTATCATTAATATCATTCAGAATGTGATCAACGATACCACATTTGAGAACTAATAAAATAATTTTTTTTTTTTTGCAAGCATAAAACAAAGTTAAAGAAAGCGTCACTTGGATCACATGTAGATCCAAATGACCTGGTGCGTCTCATAATTAGGAACAATCTGATGTCTCGTGATTTGAGGCGGCAACACAATAATCGAAATATACATAGGGTTGTTAACGATCCGATCCATCCGATCTAGGGGCCGAGGATTAGGGATGTTAACGATTCGATTAGTTCGGTTTCGGTTCGATTTTCGGCGGTCTGAGAGTAAAATCGAACCGTAGACTGGTTTATAGACCGGTTTGAATTGTAGTCTAGACCGAAGTGTAAATAAATTAACAAAAAAAAAATACCACCAAAATATCGAAATTATTTTATTTAACCAAAAAAAAAAAAAAATACAAAAATATTGTCAAAAATTGACCAAAAAAAAAAATTAAATCTAAATCTATAAAATCTATAACAAAATAAAATATATATCGTTGCTATAAAGTTTTTAATTCCCTTTTAATTACCCTTGCTGTTTCTGGATTTAACCTATTTTGGTTTTTGAAATAGCTAAACCTGAAATCAACAAGGCCCTTTCTGATGGAACTGACGTTGATTGGATTGTTAAATAATCCTTAGCCATTTGTGATAATATCGTTCATTACTTTTTCCACCAATTTAAAGGATTAGCATTACAATCTACCGGGAAATTTAAATTCATCACATGACATTTCTTGATGATTACTTTGACTGAGTAAAGTAAGAAAATAAGCCCGCGATGATAATTTTGGTTTTGATATTCTTTGATTGGATATATATTGTAAATAATTCTTGTAAATTATTGATAATTTCAGTTAAATTATCATTGAATAAAATGGTTTTGTAACACAGATCTAATACTGAGAAAATTGTTGAAGTTTGATTTAAATGTTTATCACAATATTTCTTTAATTTGATATATATTGCTAAGGCTATTTCTTTTTGTGTATTATGATTTCCTCTTGGATATTGATCCAATTTTTTAAACATTCCTTTAAAAACCAATTGTATATCACCTTGTATAGGATGTGATAATGATGATAATAACTGTGTTACCTCATATATTGGTTGTAAAACTAAGGATAATTCCTAAAAATTTATAATACAGTATTAATAATGATTTATAATAACAAAATATGACTCTCTTGATGACCTATATATATCAAATATATATAGAAAAAGGAAACATTAATCTATGCGCAACTCGACTAAATGAAACTAGTCTAATGAACCCAGTCATTTCCAAAACAATAGTTGCAGTTCAAGAACAGTTCCAATACAATAATTGCAGTTCAGGCATTTTACCAAATCCATCAGGTAGCTCACCTTCATTATATATTTGTTCTCTTCTCTCTCTTGCACGTTCTCTTTTACAGTTCGACCAACCTCTTCTTTGTATTTGATGACGAGTATGAGTCATGGTATTAGAAATAATATATCAACTGAAAAAAAGTGAAATAAATATCTATATTAATACAATGCTTATATTAATTCCGGTCTTTCAATTCTCGGAAAGTATCAGATGTATAGTGTTCTCTCAATACTTTAATAAACTTGAAATATCATAGTAACTTTAAGTATTATTTATTAAATCTTCAATAGGTAGAATATATTTATCAAAGGAAAAAAACCAAAAACTTACAAAAGAAAATTAGCAATAATTTTAGTGTGAAAAAAAGATTTTCTTTAGAAAAAAAAGAAATTTAAAAGGATTTTTATATTTGAAAAATCAATGTGAGAAATTTTCTGTTGCAGAAAAATAAATAAAGGCCATTAGTATCTATTGGTTGATGGAAATCATCAAACAAGAAATTTGTAGAATATGATAAAATTTTGTTTATAGATCGATAAACATAATGATCAAACAAAACAAGCTAATTTGATTGGATAAAAATGATGTAATAATTTTAGAATTATAACAAATGCAATATTCAAGCTCAATTTGATATCTTTATATTTAAAAATATAAGAAGAAATATTGCGTGATTTTTTTTGTAATTCAATATAATATGTGTGTTTCTTGATATGAAAAACATTTGTAATATTTACACAGCCTACCTTGGAAAAATATTTAGTTTGCATAATCAGTTGATCAGAAAGTTAATTTTAGATTTGTGTTCAAATTTAAACAGATTTTTCCACATGACAGATTACTCGAAAATCAAATTTGAATAAAATCTTCCGATATAAAATTAAATAGTCTATCATAGATAAAATCAGATCAACAATGTTAAATCACAAATCAATTTTGAATTTTACAGAGTAAAAATCTTAAGAAGAAAGATATGTTACAGGATGATTATAACAAGAAAATGTGGCTCAGCAAATGATCAACATGTTTCACAAAATTGATCTACTAGAAGATTTACAAAAATGATCTACAGAATTGATCTACTGGATGATCTGCAAATGACTTACACATGTAACGTTAGAAATGTTAAACAAATGTTACATAACTTATATATTTGATATATCTAACATAACTAACATTTCTGACATGTCTGACATATATAATATATCTGACATGTTCAACAAATAGGACATATTAGACAGGTCAGACATAATAGATATATTTGATTTATTAAACATGTATAATATATTAGTTTTATCTTTCTATGTAAATTATTTTATATAAATAGAATGGTTTGTAAATGTTAGAATGGTAGGAAGTTAAGTTTCCTCTAGTTCAGTGCTAATGTGCTTATTCATCTTTTCATTGTCCTTTTATTTTTATTATTTTTATACATAATTTATCTTTAATAAACTTATTTTACATGCATAATATTGAAAATATAATGATTAATTATTACATAATTTATGATTTATAAAGTGTTCTTTTACTTTAAAAATATACATATTATTACAATTATTTTAATGAACCCAGTAAGCTACCAATAAAAAGCAATCATCAAATGCCTCATCTACCATTGTAGTTTGTAAAAATCAGATGTTAACAGTACTTAAAAAAGTAGCAGTACATTCTAATAACACGTATAATAATAAAGTTGATCAACTAGTTAAGGTTTTCTTACTCTCCTCTTCTTTACCAATCACTTTCACCCAAACCCTTTTTCTCATATATCCTAACCTTTAATAACATACCTATCCTTAGGGTTCCGCAATTCGATTTGACATTTGAATATTTGATTTGAAAATCAAATCAAATACAAATTCAAATTTATAT